AAACTTTTAGTATCAGCCCCCCCTTCGCCACAGATGCTGATCATAATAATCGGACAACGGGGGGAACAAATGACCATTTTCAGGCCCCCTTTCTGTCTGTTCACCCATGCCTGTGTCGGGGTGGGGCGGAGCGCAGCCGTTACTTGTACTCCAGAGAAGAGGGTCTGGCAGAGCCTCGCCTGGCCACATCTCCAGCCCCCAGGGTGGGCTCCGGTTCTCAGGGGAGAGGTGGAGCTGTATCTGTCAGCTTTGTGCTGGCCCAGTTTCGCCTGGACCGGGCAGTTTCCCACAGGCTGTCTCCAGCCCGTTGTATGGACTGGAGAACCTAGCCTGTTGTCAGCGCTATACGGTTAATGCCATGCCTCCTTACTTATGAGGATGTTCAGAGTCCAAGTCAGCTGATGCTCACAAAAACATGAAATGCTTCATACACTTAGATTCCTTGTATAATCTTGACATCAACGTGTATATGACTGTTTTGTATCTATGTAATCTGTGACACACAACTTTATCTTACTAGAGAGGAGAGCTTACTGGCTTTCTAGTGGGACACAATATACTTGCTCCTTGATATGAAGGTCTTGAGAAATCAGGGGTTTTGATGTGTACTTGCAGGACACATCAGTATTTGCAATGCCTATTTGTACTTAGATAAGCAGTCAATCTAGTGGGAGTGCAAGTCCTCATATCTTTTCCCATACTGTGCTATCACAATAAAATATGTATAAAGGAAGCTAATGATAAGGGACATTAGTATCAGAGAAAAGTGGACTGATGTGCTGTCAAACGATTAAACAGAATTTTATAAAATTATAAATAGTGTGGTGTTGCAAAACAACTGTTACCAGCACTGTCCCAAGTGCTTTAACAAGTCAAGTCAGTCCCAAGGCCACTGTGACCATTGGGGCACCTTCAATGCTGTAACAACCCTCCTCCACACTGCATGAGGTTAGCTGAGTTGCTTTGTATCACTGATGATTCTTCGAGCAAAATGACCTGGTGGTGCCCATCTCCTCTCCAGGTATGGATGGCCGTCAGCTTGCCTTGCCACATACCTTCCTCACCCACGCTAGCCCAGGTGGGGGCACCAGTTTAGTCACTGACAACCCAACCATGGAACAGGCTGTACTGGTTCACATGGCACCTAATAGCAGACCAAGACATGCCTGGCTTGACAATAGCTTTAACAAAGAGTATTCTCATCCCAGTCCAATAATGTCATTCATATCTGTGGCAGAAATGAGAAAAGATGTTAGATATGCTGACATCCATGACTGAGGCCCAGGTGTGGAAATGACTGATAAATACCATGTTAATTACTTTCAAAGTGGACTACTGGGAACAATTCTAGACCTTGGAATTAGTCTTTGCCTATATCTCTTACCATTATAATTTCTTTATCCATTATAGTCCTGATGTGTTTTAAGGATGTGTCTGATTAGCAAAGGGAAGAAAACCAAAACAACCAAAGATAGTTCTTAACAGCATGTTATCAGAGTTCTTTCAGTGTGGGTTCAGGATAACTACAGCAAATTGTGAATGGCAAGGCAACTAATGAGATGTGAAGATCACCCTAAAACTGGTCCAATAAAACCTCCAGCTCACAGCCACATATTAAACCAAACCCAGTAAAGCACTTCAGCATGTGCTCAGTAATTTTCTGGATCCAATATATTTATTCAATAATTTATGGACCAAAGCATAAAACTATTCCAAAACCATATTCTCTTAATACCAGGAGTCCAATTAACTTTAACAAGTATATTTGTATACACTTAAAAAATCTTGATGTAGCTTTTTCATAAAATACCCAAAAACTCCCAATTTCTCAAGGCCTTCATGGCAAGGAACAAGTGTGTGGTGTCTCACTAGAAAGCCACTAAACTCTCCTCTCTAGTAATATAAAATGTCCACTTCTCAGCACCCATCAGGGCTAAATATTATAACTTAAACCCATCACTGATAAGTGATTGGAGAGAAAGACAGACTTTGGCAGGTTGTTTAAAAATAATTCCAGTTTGAGATGCAGTGACAGTAGAGCATATGTGAAGAGCATACACATGATAAATGTATTTTATCACATAGATGTTACCACCTCATCTATCATAATTTTTACCATCTGGAGAGATCTGCTGAAACATGGTAAATCCTTACTCAGTTGTAACATGCTTTGCTGTTGCCTGTATAGATGAGACGCATGAATATGTTACTATGCTGAAATCCTTTAAAGACATACATTTTATAATGGCCTTAATGCAAAAAATTCTATTTCCAACTTTACCAGAAAGATATTTTAAGTATGACCTGTTTTTCCCCCAGTTTTAGCAGGTATATCTTATACTCATACCAGTTTTAAACATAATAAATGTCCTGAGTGATGTTAGAAGTGTGTATTAAAAAGTATCCTTTATAATGTAAAAAAATAAGCACCTGTTCAGACACAGTATTTTCTTCCATGCACCAAAAAGAACCTAAGTTCCCTAGCATCTGCATAGCTTGCCTCCAACCTTTCAGTACAAAGCTTGGAGACAAGCTTGGAGGTTCCAGCCAGCAGAGGGGACTATTGTATATCATCATCAGACATGTAGTAATACCCTCTAGAGGGGACTATTGTATATCATCATCACACATGTAGTAATACCCTCTATAATAGGGTCTCTCTCAGTACTATTCTGCCTGTTTCACTATCATTTTCCTCTATGCTTGCTTTTTTGGCCCATTTAATCAAGGAATATATTGTGTGTTGTGGGTAAAATTTACTACTCAGAAGAATAACAGAAGCCCTCTGCACTACTTAAGCCCCGCATTTCAGGGTTTAGGTAACGCATGGCACTTGGGTTCCTCTTTGAAATCAGAGTTTGTGATTTCAGGTGTGGATCGGCATGGGTGTTGGTGGGGAATCTCCTCTATTCTTCCATCAGTCCAAGGCTGCACATGTGCTGGGCATAATCTGTCACCAAAGATGACAGAATAGGATTAGAACTTTTTGTGATAAAGTTAATTCAGTTATGGAAAAAGTTTCATTAGAACCACAAACATCAACCTTTATGAACCTATGAAACTATTTATGCCTTGAAATTAGGTTACTAGATTGAGCTATTACAGCATCAACATAATCACTTTTTATTGTTTATACTATTTACACTTTTTACTGTGATCTCAAGGATCATGGACTATTGGAAATGCAGAAAGTGTGAGGTAGAGGGATTCTGTTATAAATTAGATCTTGCTTGTATGGGCAGGACAATAGCATGTTTTAGAATTGTGCCTGTAATTTTTGCCATCTGAGGTGATCTGCTAAAACATAGAAATATCCTTACTTAGTTACGACACGCTTTGCTACATTTCAGTTAATTAAATTAATATTAATGGAAACAAAACCTTAAACCATATTCCGCTTCTTAGGTAAAGAAGAGTACAATTTAACCTTTGAGGACTCCTCAAGAGAGTCTGGAAGACACAGTTCACACAGACTAATATTGCTGCCTTGCCTGTTGTGAGTTCTGTCAGATGTGTACCCTTTAAAAATGACCATTACAAAAATAAAAGTCTTATAGTTGACTGCAAAATTTACTTAAACAAGCTCCCATTTCTGAATCATTCTGTTGTCAAACAGCTTCCTCTTTATTAATCTACGTTAGCTGCACTCATCACAATTAGAGTGGCAGAAACTTGAAGACAAACTATTTTTTGAAAAGCTATTTCCCAGTAGGCAGGAGGAGGAAAGGTTATTAGAACTGGCCTTTCCAAAATAAAGTAAATTCTGATCAGGACATAGTAAAAGCTCATTTACACTGCTTCATGGAAACTTAGCTGGTATTCAGAAGCAATTTGATTTTATTATACATGACTTAATAACTCTGAAGAATTATTTTGCTGCCCCAGATATCAGTACTTGCATTGAACACTTAAACACTGCCAGTGGTCTTGTTTGTTTTGGGGAGAAAAATATTTTTCTGTAATCAGCAGCTGCTGAGTAAACATTATGCCTCCAAGAGAAAAGGTTTTATTTAGCAGTACAAACAGGTTTTGAGAACAGACTCATTAGCAATTGAAAACTGTAATGAATGTTGGACTGCTACGTTCTTCACCTGCATGTAAACATTTGCAAACCCCAGAAGGAATGGGGAGGTTGTACTTACTTTTCAGGGCCGATAAGCTTTAGAAAGACAGCGACTGAAAGAGTCAGTGCAAGTTTTTGAATGAGGTGGAGGAAAGCAGGACTCACTAGGCTTTGGGAAGTGATGTCCCTCACCAAGAAATTCTGCAAGTTTGACAGCATGTAGTTATGGTCAGAACCCAGCCACAATCGCTAGGTTATAACTTCCACCCGTTTCAACAGGGCTTACCTTTTGTTCTCTCTGATCTCTAAAATGCAGATACTTAACCACCCAATTGTACCGTAGCCACCTGAGGTTTAATTTATTATTTAAAGATACACGATTTTAGGACTTGGATCAATGGTTACTCACACTAGCGCTCTTCAGAAAGGCAAGTAAAGCAGCTTTTAAGTGAAAAGCAAAATAGGCCTAGACTAAATTATGACGATAAAAAGAAGTTCCCTCCACAGAAGGAAACCTAAGGAGTACTGATGTCCACCATGCCAGGAGCAGGAACATGCAACTGGTAAGTCTCCACGTGGGCAGGGGACAGCAGACTGGTCCCCGAAGAGAGGCAGCAGCAAAGGCCCGGGGGTCGGAGCAGGTTTGGGGCGTGGATGTCAGCCCTGGGCAGGAGCTGGGGAGCAGGCGAGCAACTCGCGGCGCCAAGAGCGAGCAAGCAGGGGGCGAGGTAAGGCGAGGCACTACAGCAGGGGGTACTACGCCAGCTCCCTTGGGGCCTTCCCAGCGGAGAAGCCGGATCCCCGCGGCCTAGCCAGTGCCCCCGGGCCCTTCCAGGCAGGCGGGAGCAGCCCCGCCCCCAGTCCCCGCGGGCGGGAAGCCGGGACAGAACATGGCGGCCCCTCCGGAGTCCGCTCCCCTCCCCCCGCGGGCCGCCGCAGCGCATGCGCAGTAGGGCGCAGAGAGGCCGTATCCCTCCGCCGAGCCCCCCTTTTGTCGGGGCTATTTGTGTAATAAGATAATCCCGCACCCCGATGGTAAGTGCCCCGCGCCCCGCAACGCGCCGCCCGCTCGGCGGCCGCGGGGGGCGGGGGAGGACTCCCGGGCGCGGCGGGGC